CCTTCTTCGGAAACCGTTTTAAAATGGGTCCTGCTAACATGACTGTAGCATGGTGTGGACAGGGTATCAGTATGAAAAAAAACATTTTTCTTTTAATAGACTGAAGAATTGTTTCTAAAAACATGTTAACAAAGTTGTGACCTGGCCACATTGACGGCACAACTGCGTTAGCAGAAAACTATTTTTAAATGGTTTCATGCAGTTGGAAATATAGTATAGATAGGCCTTTTAAGATTCACTGAACCTATTCTACAGTTGTATGGATACCTGGAGTACTACAATGTGGCTGACTCTGCACGTTCATGTACAATGTGATCATATCCACAGAGTTCTGCAAGTTGGCTGACCTCATTGTTATGAAGGTGCAATCAACAGAGACTACAAGTCTCACAATCTAATACTCTGGGCCAGATCTCTGCTGGCATGAATTAGCAGAGTTTCATTGACTTCAAAGGAGCTATGCCCATTTGTACCACAAGTGCATGTTGCCCTCCATCTTGAGCTGAGTGTATTAAAGAGGAGAGTGGCTCCAATCTGCTCTCCTTTATTTAAGTTAGATATGGCCTTCATGCTGCTGGCAAGTTGCTGATGCAGCCGTTGGCTGACCAAATCATGGACTTCTTTGTTCTATCACTTCCAAGATCTTACCATACAAGGATCTCAATGCACTTTACAAAAATTAAGCAAACAAATCTTATCCATCCTTCTGCGGTAGGTATTATTATGCCCATTTTACAGATGTGTAAATTGAGGCATAGAGAGGGTAAGTAGCTTAAATGCTGTCCTGAACAGAAATGCATTTAAGCGTGTGTTTAGCTGCTTTCTTAAATCTGGGGCCAAATGCTCTGTGAAGCAGCTATCTGTTGTTTGCAAAGCATCCCTATCAGTGGAAGCATCATCTACTGGGTATTGCAGATACTGTACAGCATTCTCCAAAAACACCACATCTCTGCTGATCAGAGTGTTTCAATCTCTTCTCACAGTAGGCTGTGGACTGAGTTCAAAAAGTCAGAAGGTCATCAAGCTAGAAAACCAGCCCTTTTGAGACTCCCTCTGCACATCACATGCCATGTCTGCATTCGGCTCTCATTACTTTATGCCGTCACTTCTTTTTTCCAAAAAAAGAACATCCTCAATCTGTTCATTGCTTTAGTTCATTTTAGGGCAACATAAACAGCTTTCAGTGCTTTACAATCCACACAAGCCTTCAGAAATATTCAGTGTTTACTAGGGCTCTGTAGTGTTAAATCAAGTATGACTATCACCCTTAAAAGCCTAAATGATGGAGTCATATCTATACTACTAACACATTTTGACAGTGTCACCACCTGCCTAAGTAAAAACAGTTTTCTCACCACTGTAAACCTAGAAGATGGAGTCACAAGTTACCAGAATTTCTTTTCAAAAGTTGGCATTGTTATTCATAATACCCAGACTCTTAATTTACTCAATGGTATAAACTACAGTGTATCGTTTAAAAGATAAACAGCTGGAAGGAATACCAGATTCATTCATTCTCTCGGCCTGATAGCTGGAAGTGGATGGGAGCTGATATTAACGAAGTGAGAAGAATCCTGAATAAAATCAGTAAGTGTTGAGAGCCATGAGTGTCTGATTACTTCCTTTGACCATGTGAAAACTTTCTCATAATTCTAACATGACAAAAACTTCAATAAAAAGGATGTTTCTATTCTGTCACTGGATTTTAAGAATAGGGTTACAGAAAATCGTGATGTTTGCTCTTGCTAATTCCTTGCTAGAGATATTAGAAAACAGAAGTAAAATAATATTGTAATCTGAGTTTGGGAAGATCTCCTGGGTAAAGAATAAAAATCCTCTTTCCATTTACTTGGTACTCTCAGATTCTTTTATTTAGAACTGGGATTGACAAGCTACGCAGACCAGCAACTAACTACTACTGCAAGCCAATACAAATAAAATGATCTAGAGAATACGAAATTTAAAAGTTGGCTAAATCTTACTACTGCAATTGACTTGGAAAGTTCTTAATTATTTATACTTCAGTTAAAATAGATCTTTAATGATCTATATTTAAGATGAACTAATGAGTTGTGTTTCTTTTTATTGTGGAGTCAAAATTTGGCAAAATGTGGATACTGCAGGACATTTGCTGCAGGGAGCTGTCCCATTCAGCACCATATTTGTACAGTAGACATTCAAAATGAAGCTCAAAAATACAAGTCAATCTTGCTTTCATTTGGGTCCTTTTTCTAAATAAATAGCCTCTACCAGGCTGACATAGTCACTGCGATCATCAAAACTAATTTTACAGGGGCACTTAATGACTGGACCGTCTTCATTAAAACAGTATGTGCTTCTTGAATTCTACCTGGAAGGTTTTGAAGGAAGAATGAGATGTTCATGCAAGCAATGTGTGCAAGTTTAGAATAAAAACAGAAACAGCAACAGAAGATTAACCTGAACAGTTAATATTACCGCACAATATAAGAAACAATACCATAGAGGGAAAATGCTTTAGTATTTCCTTTCAATGCCCAAGAACTTCTTAAGTAGACCAAAATTGAAAATGAGAAGCTTTTTACTGGAAAATTAATCTTTTTGGATGAACAAGTAATGTATCCACAATATTTCAGCCACTCTAATTTTTACAGACAATTGTTATAAAAGATAACATCACTGGGCAACTTATGTTTTGAATGGATTATGTGAAAGACAGAGTAGAAGAAAAGTAAGACCGATATAGTAACTAATTTATTAATAAACTTTTGGAATATTGATCACATATCCTGCCAGAGAATATACTTATAAATACTTGTTAAGGTATTTCCAGGTTGTGTCTTTCCACTGCATTGTTTCTTCCAGCCCTTGACGACTGCTATAGATATTGTAATGCTAAAAGAATGCTGACTTCCCAAAGTGCCTCAGCCCACTGACAAGAATGGTACCCAATGCAAGAAATGGGTTCATGTCCAAGGCTACTGATTTTCTTAAACGTAGCTAAACTCTTCATTTTAGAAAACACCTAAGCATCGCGTAACTGACATTGTTGACTTAATAAACTTCAGCCTTCATTTTAGCAAAAGAAATTGGACTCTTCTGTATTTTTCATTACGTCATTTCTATTGTATCTCAAAGGAAAACATTGACCCAACTTTCCTCAACTTCGGAAACAAAAGCAAGTTTTAGTTTGTTTCCAGGCAAAATATTGTTTAAGAAAAAAAAACTAATTTACAACCCTTCATACCCATCACCAGCAAAGCTTAGTGACTGTGAAAATATTTAACTGTTGTTTACAGCAGGCATACAAAGTACAGTAAGTAAACGGACACATGTATATAAATCATATAATAATCCATACGGACAAGATAGTTCAATGTTTTAATAGGCACTAATAAAAAACTAAAAGATGCAAAATTGGGGAGAAGAAATCCCACTGAACAAAACAGGAATCCAGTTCTAGCTTTAAAGAACATGCACAATAACCGTATATTGCATGGCCTCCTATGAAATATTTATGTTTTCTATTCATAAAAAGATGTCTGGCAGTGGGGGAAAAACTAATCAATGAGATAAACAAAAGCAGAGACTATCTCTTAAAAATCTCATCACCTCCATAAAGAGAACTAGGCTTCACATTGTCAGATGATCTTTCAAAGAAAATGATTCGCTGCCCCAGGTAAGAAAGTCAAAATATAGATGTAAGTAAACACTTTTTCCTGACAGCTCAAAGGAGAGTGGATATTCTGCTGAAAACTGACAGTATCTTCAGGTGGTAATGTGCAAATTTGTTGTAACAAGCCCTAAACAGTCAAAAGATAGTGTCTGTCTTTATTAACAACAGTAAGCTGCTCTTTCATGTCCTGTTCAATATAATGCACTATCAACCATTCACTGAGCTGAAGTGACCTTCTCAGATCTCTACAGATGTTAAAGAGGAACATGTCCTGTGACAAGGACATATCAGCTGCCTCATTAAATGCAGCCTATTTAGTATAAAACAAGTAGCAACGTAAACACTATACAGGCCAAAGCAACAGTGCTAGACATAGTTTTATCTGTAGATTACAGCCTCTAGTAGTCGACCTGCTTGTTTTTATTTCAGGAAACAAAACTTTGTTTGGAACATGCAGTTTTACTGGAGTGAAATATAGAACTGCAAAATGACAGCCTGTAGCTTTGTCAACATATTGTCACTCAACAGTCTCTGGAAACTTCATTTTGAAGTTGGGTAATGAATAAGGGCGAGTGATTGTCTTTATGTTTGTTTAATTGTTTACCCAAAAAATGCAGGCTCGGGTGTGACACACCACACCACTGTTCAAGCACCAGTCACTGCAATTGCAAAACAAAATTTCTGGAAAATAAGGGTAGTAAACAAGACAGCCACAGATAGAAACTACAACTGTATTCAGCGTCTCCTGGCACAGCACCCACCACTACCAACACAGTTTGCAAACAGAGAGAGACAACTTTTCCCATGATTAAATGAAGACTTATGATTAGCTGATGCAGGCTTCACTGCCATCATCATCAAATAGCTCTTTGCATGAGTTCCCCCCCCCCCAAAGTCTCTAAAGCTTGCAAGTGAAGGAGTGCTCAGGGTACAGTAAGTAGCAACGCCAGGAGTTGCAGAGCAGAATGGGTTGCACATCCCAGCCACCTGCCTTGGGGTTCCCGAGCAGAGTTTTAGCGTCTATTATCCTTCTCCTCCCCTTCCCCAGAGAGAGCAGGAATCTCGCTTGGTAGCCAACGCCAGCCCCCTTTCTGCCCCCTCACCCAACTTCAGACACACGCTCCAGGTGCAACAGGACAAAGGCTGCGCCTCGGGGTGACTGGTGGGCCATCTCAAAGCCCCTGGAAAGACACTAGCTACACACCACAGGGGTAGGGAGGGGAAGGGGTCCTGAGCGACTTCTGCCCTGTTTAACCCTTTGCATCCAGCAGTCCCCAGCTCTGGGAGCTCCTGGCATCACTCCCAGGCCAGGGAGCGTGCGGGGCTGGGCAGGCCGGGCACTCACCGATAGTCGTGATGACTGTGATGGCAAAGTAGAAGGAGCCCGCGAATCTCCACTGGACCCCGGCCCGGTGGGGCTCGGACTGCATGATGACCAGCTCCAGCTGCCGGTAGTCCTCGCTGGTGATGTTGTACTTCCCTTTGAGCCGGATCTCCTCGGCTTTGAGCTTCTCCTCCTCCCGCATCTCGTTGTCGGACTCCAGGGCATCAAAGACGGCGGCCCCGACCAGCAGGTAGGTGAACGTGCAGATGATGAGGGACAGGGTCCGCACGTTCTGCCTCTTCATGGCCGCCAGCAAGGGGCGAGTGCGGGGACCATGTCCCCCCCTGGCCGTCCGGGGATCCGACAGGGCGCAGCAGCAGCAGCTGGCCGGGGGGAGCTGCAGGGGGCGGCGGCTGCCCCCAAGGCTCCGGGGCGGCTGCTCCCCGCCTCCCTGCTCGGGCTCCTGGGAGGAAGACAGGCACAGGAGGCTACTGGAGCGCCTGGACCAGGTGCCCTGCAGCCGGGAAACTCTCCGCAGGACTTGCCCAAACCAAGCCGTCCCAGTGCGCAGGGCCATCCACAGCACCCCCTTAGCGCCTGCAAACCAGCGCCTCCCTCCCCGCTGCCTCCAGGAGTGGGCTGGGGGTGGGGGGGAGACGAGCCCCACTGTCCTGGGAAGGGGGGATGGGGAGGACCAGTGCTCGAGGGCTGGCGAGGAGAGGCTGAGCAGCACGGGGATGGGGGTGGGGGTGCCAGGCGGGGGAGCCACCCAGCAGCCAGGCAGACACGGTGCCAGGGGAGGTTGGGTTTCTGCCGCTTCTCCCACAAGTTTCTTTACTCAGCACTTCTCAGACTGGCGAGGGGGCGGGGAGGAAGAGAGGGGGAGAGGGAGCAGCATCCCCATCAGAGCGACCTCGGGCCGGGCTGCACCGGGGTGGAGAGAGCTGCCGCCCAGGAGGAAGGGGGGAGGGGGTCGCTTCTGGAGAGGGTGGGGGAGGAAAGGCTGGAGCACGCCAGATGTGCCGGGGAGGCGGGGCAGAGGCTGGCCCGGGGCTGTCACTCTCCACTGGTTGCGTGCGGGCAGGAGGCGTGAGAGGCGCCCTCAAGGGAAGGCTGGTGCAAGGCTCCCACGGTCCATGGCGGATGGTCTGTGGGTGCGGGTCCTCTGCCCCACACGGATCGGAGCGATACCCCGGGCAGGGAGCACGCCCCTACCACTCACCGGGCACCGGTGGGTCGGATTGCGGCCACCAAACTTTGTATGAATTGTTCCTAGCTAAAGAATTCAAAGCGGGCGCGTTATGGCTTCTGCCCTCGGCCGCTCCCCGCTGAAAGAGCCAGTCTGAAGTCAGGGGGCTGGAGATAGCCGATGCTCATGGAGAATATCTGGAAGTCCAGCCCGACTATGAACGAGACAGTATCAGACGTTAGCCTGTGAGTTTTCGGCAGCATACCCACAAAGCTGGCTGTCCTCGCCGGGGGGGAAACAGACTCGGGGGGGGCCGCTTCCTTCCCGCCTTTAAACCATCAGAGTCAACCAGCGCCGGGCATGAACCCGCGGGTCCCTGGAGAAGGCCACCGAAAGCAGAGGCGTTTCCCGGGGTGGATGAAATCAGCAGCCCACCTGGCTGGATCTCGCTCTAGCTCGGAGCAGACACAAGCCCATCAACCTGTCTGGCCCATGGAGGTGAAGCATCGCGGCGGGCAGGAAAAGACACCGAAACCATCCCCCGAAAACACACCAGGAGCCAGGAGTGTCGCGCCCCCCGCCCCCCCCTCTCTCTCTCACACACACACCCTCCAGCCAGACCCCAAAACTGCCACTTTCTATGGCTCCTGCCCGGTTTGGGGCTGTTGGATTTCTTGGACCAAAGCCTTTTAAAACGAGCAATTCTCCGCCCCCTCCCAAGGACTTGACAGCATCTCGGGGGGAATCAAGCCGCCGCTCCAAGCCATCTCTCTCGCTCCCGTCCTCCCAGCAGGCAGGGTGAACAGTCCCCCGGCAAACCAACCTGCAGTGGCTTTTGTGAGCTGCTGGGGATGGGGTGGGTTTTTTCCTATTAACCCGCTCCTTCCCGAGGCACTTTTTATGCTCCCGCTCTGCGCCCACCCTGCCTGCAAGAGGCTGCACTGATCTGATGCTCCCCTGGTCTCTCTCCCCGCAGGTCTCCTGCCTTGCACCATCGCATGCGACTCGCTCCCGCTGGCTCGGTCCCCTCCCCCGCTGTGGCCACTCCCAGCCGGCTCCTACTATACTCAGCCTAGCAGGGTTGTGCTGGGAGCCAGGCACCACGTGGTGCAGGTTTGCCAGGCGAGCTCCCTTCGCTCTTTCAGCCTGTCCATCAGCCAGGGGGGGCAGAAGCAGCGGGAAGGAGGGGGGGGGGAAGAAGAGACCAGGTCTTGCTTCCCTTCCAGACTCCGCTGAGCCAGGGGCTGTGTGAGAGGAGGGATCCTGGGAGCCGGGCTGGAGGCGACGCTTTAGATCTTTGCCCTGCGCTGGGGCCAGGAGTGAAACCAGTTTAAAACGCGCTCCGCGAAGTTCTCTGCTCCCCGCAGGTGTTGCTAAGCGGGCAGGGCAGGTGTCGAGACCGCGTTTCCCCCCCTGCCTGCAGCCCTGCTTTGCTTGGCTAGTCTCCCCCCCACGCCAGCTACTTTTCTCAGGTGTGTCACCACCTAGGCCTCGGGGGCCACTGTGTAATGCGGGGCTACTCGCTGCAGCAGGGGAGCCGGACGCGGAACGAAGCAGAAGTTACCCACCAGGAGTGGTTTTTTTCCCCTGCGCGGTAATTGCAGAGGGCCGCACCGGCGGAATCCCAGCGCCGGGCAGGCACCCACCCCATCAGACCCTGCCCCTCTCGGAGCCGCAAGGGGCTTTGGCAATATTACGCGGCGCGCTGGGCGAAATAAGCACCTTCGGTAAATACGGTGACTCAGAGGAGACAGCTGTTTATGGTTAAATAAAGCAAACCCCATTATAGACCCCGGAGCAATGAGGCGCGCGGCGATTAGAGCAATTATGAATCATGACTGGGCTTGGCTGCCCACGGCCAAGGGGGCTCTGCCAGGCGCTGGGAGGAGTGGGGAGGTTGCAGGTTGGTTCTGGGGCCATCACTCAGTGCCAGCTGCTAGCCAGAGAGGCAGGGTGGGCTTGTAAAGAAAGCAGGATGGGCTGGGAGTCAGGCAGTTCTTGGCCTTGCTGCAGCCTCCCTGTGTGCCCCTGGGGAAACCAAATTATTTCTGCCCCATACAACACTACTTCATTGCTCCCGCTCTCCCCGATTGAGGTTGGGATTTTCAAAGAAGCGCAAGGGCTGAGTTGATCACTGGGAGTCCAGTGCCTAATTTATTTAGGACAACCCCCGCCTTAGAGGATAGGGACAGGGACTCTCTCACACACTGTGTTTGCACGGCCCCTAGTACAATGGAGCTTTGATCCGGATCGGATCCTCTAGGTGCTACCCTAATCCGAACTAACAATAACAACCACCACCACCCTAGTTATTCAAGGCTGACGAGGTTCCATACACAACGACAGAGTTGGTCAGGGGATACAGAGAGGGAGCTCTACCAGGGCAGTGTGCTATATGTTTTTAATATTGATTTTCATTTAACTAAAGGCATGGTGATGATGCTCATCACAGATATTCAGGAATGAGGCTTCACAGTGTTCCAGGTTTCTGGATACAGGCAATTCAGTAGGAGATTTCCAAAAGCTTGAGGCATTCTGAAAATCCTGAGAGGGCCTCCTCCTGCTATTTTTACATGGCTGGGGCAGGTGTATTTTAGTAGGTCTAATTTAGGGCCAGAGCCTGAGGTGTTCACTCAAGTCAAACTCCCCTTGGTTTCAATGGAGACTTTGGAATTTGGGCCTTCAGATGTAAGGTTGGGATTTTCAAAAGAGTGTAAGGGAATTAGGTGCCTAATTCTCATTGAAATCCAATGAGAGCTGGGCACCAAACTCCTGCAGGCTCGGTTCAGAGTCCTAGCCTATGTTGCCAAGACTTTGTCTTCCTCAGTGCTTCCACAGCAACTAGGACATTGTGAGGCTCAATGGATGATGACCAAGATTTTCAAAAGTGACTAGTGATTTTGGATGCTCAAATTTGAGAAAATGTGTTAAGCACCCATCCTCTGAAAATCAGGCCCTTTTAAGATGTCTCAAGTTGGGTACTCAAAAAGCGAGAGACCAAAAATCACAGAGTCACTTTTGACAACCTTGGCCAATTATTCTTGTAACTGAATATGCTGTGGGATTAGTTTACAGAGCAGAGTAATATTTCATTAAGGTAATATCTTCGTCACAGCAGCTAAATAGCTTACACACTTCCAAATCCATAACAACGACATATATGTCAGGAAGGACTCTCAGATCACAGACGTGAGCTATAGCGTCTAGCGACAGAGACTGAAGAAAGAGTTGCTTGCCCCCCGGCTTGTTTGAAACTGAGCAGTCTGATTAAGGTTGCCCATTTCTGATTCTCCTGGGGAAGGGGGGGGGGGAATCTATAAATAGCTTGCAACACAGAGAATCCTACAGCAAAGTTGCTGGGAAGATCAATAGCATGAATCAAGGAGGGCTCTAAATTACATCTCAGGGGAGGGAGGCGCTGAACTGAATTGAAAAATGAGTTGCAAATGCTGTATGTGTTGTGTGTATCTAATTAACAGAGGGTGACTAGGATCAATAGCAAGGAAGGAGCGGGGCTAAAAATAGAGCTCAGGCAGGGATTGCAACCTGCGGGCAGCAGCTTGGATGAAAATGTCCCCCTGAGTAATTAACCTTTAGCTGGAAAGTGATGTTTAGTGCTGGGCTGAAACGTGTCCTGTGAACAGCCTGGAACTGATGGGGGGGTGGGGAGAGAGAGCTCTGTGGTACAGTACAGTGTGTACAATTAGGCAGGCAAATGCCTGCTTTTTGCCTAGGAGACACCAGGCTAAGGAACTGGTGTATTGTTTTCTGGGAAAATATCTAAGTGCATTCAAAGCTGCTAATGTTGCAGTGGGGCCGTGGAAGCAGGAACAATTTCTCTATCCATCTCCCTAGGTACTTATATGGCTTCATCGCCATAATGTTAGAGGCTCTTAGACACGGCCACAAACAGCTCTAATCTAGCTTGCTCACATCCCAAAACGGCAAAGCTGTGGCAGCAAAAGCCTCGGCACAGGCTGGACAAACCTGTCCAGAACCTGGGAATGACTCACAGCCCTAGCCTGCGCTGCAGTGTCACAGTTCTGGGACCCCAAGCTGCTGGGACACCCAGCGATCTCAGTCTGGACATGGCCTCAGAGATACAGTTCCTTCCC